TGAGAGAATAAAATCGCACGACAGGGAAGAATAAAAGTGAAATTTTTCCTAACTCTGTAGCCTCTAGGGGATAAATACAGACGTCTCTGCACCGATCCCTCAAACTCTACTAAGCTTGTTTGTGAACTGTGAGACCCATGTAACCTAGAGCTCTAATACCAACTTGTCACGACCTGGATTTTCTACCTCGGGAGTCGTGATGACACCTACTAATGTGAGCTAGGTAAGCCAATTATTGAACCATCTACTTTTTTACCAATTTTATTCTTTTTAACAATTACGAAGAAATAGTATTTAAACAACGGAATATAACATAAGCGGAAGAAAACAATAAGCCATCTGAACATGAATATCTATTACAACTGTTTGAGTCTCGACTACCCAGAACTGGTGTCACAGTTTCACAGACGGTCTAAGAATACTTCAAATAAAGGTCTGGAAGATTAATTACAATACTGTTTCCGGGAATACATGTAAGAAACAGAAAAAGTAGATAGAAGAAGATGCCAAGGCCTGCGGACGCCTACAGAACTACCTCGGGTCACCTGATGATCAACAATCAGCAATCTCACTGCGGTCCGAAGTCCACAACACTGGAGTCTGCACAAAGAGTGCAGAGTGTAGTATCAGCACCATGTGCTGGTAAGTGCCTAGCCTAACCTCGGCGAAGTAGTGACGAGGCTAGGACCAGACTGCCAAATAAACCTGTGCAGTTTAATTATACACAACGGGAAAGAAATACAGAAATAAACAAGTAAAATTGGGAGGGGGAAACATGCTTCGGGGAATAGCAGGTAAAACAGAATATCAAGAGAATTATTAAGGAATCAAAATCACCCACTAACAAGAAAAAGGGAATAAAGGCAGATTTCATTTTCTTTTCATATCTCGTGGCAGGCGTGCCACCCGCTCCCATTTCACCTGTCTTGTGGTAGGCGTACCACCTATTCCCATTTCATTATATCTTTGTTGCAGCATGCAACCCGATCCACATATAATATTGTTGTGGCGTGCAACCCGATCCACGTATAATGTTGTTGCGGCGTGCAACCCGATCCATATATAATATTGTTGCGGCGTGCAACCCGATCCACATATGATATCGTTGCGGCGTGCAACCCGATCCATATATGATATCATTGTGGCGTGCAACCCGATCCATATATAATATTGTTGCGGTGCGCAACCCGATCCATATATAATGTTGTTGCGGCGTGCAACCCGATCCATATATAATATTGTTGCGGCGTGCAACCTGATCCATATATAATATTTACAATTATAACGAGAGTCCCGACAAGAGATCAATAAGGTCTACACTGTCCCGGCAAGGGATTCGACAGCATAAGAAATCACGTCCCGGTAAGGGAGAAACAGCTATAACCAAACTTGATACCACACCTAACTACCTCAGCTATAACCAAACTTGATACCACACCTAACTACCTCAGCTATAACCAAACTCGTACAATATCTAACCACCTCAGCTATAACCAAACTCGTTACCACACCTAACTACCTCAGCTATAACCAAACTCGTACAATATCTAACCACCTCAGCTATAACCAAACTCGTTACCACACCTAACTACCTCAGCTATAACCAACCTCATTCTGACACCTAACTACCTCGGCTATACCCATAATCCCTACCCAATACAACGAATCATAACACAATGCAAGGGAACCATAATTCAATAATAGTCCAGCAAGGGGGCAACATAATGATCTCTTCTCTTTCTCACTCTTACTTCACAATTCCTGTCACAACTCGAGCCAATGCTCTAGAGTTTCAGTTATCATTTATACTTTCACAACTCGAGCCAATGCTCTAAAGGTTCAATTGTCACTTATACTTTCATAATTTCACTATACAACTTGAGCCAACGTTCCTCAATGTTCATAGGTCACAATTATTTCCACAAACTTTATACAACAATTAGAAATCTTCACCAAGGCATGAATAATACAACGAAATCATGAAAATCACAATATAAGGCTTACTAGTGTTTTGGGAGAAGAAGGAGCGTTTGGAAAATCACCTCTTATGTTTTAGGGTTTTGAAAAGTAAAAAATAACTGAAAAGTCCGTTTAAATATACTCCTCTCAGACCCTCTCCGTGGACCGCATAAAAAAGACTGCGACTGCGGAGCTCCACCGAGGACCGCAAGAAATCGAGCACGGCCACGAAGGCTTGGCCTTGCTCACCGCAGACCGCACAAATTCCATCGCGGTCGCAAAGTCCCCACCGCGGCCGCGAAGCTTCCACCGCGGACCGCGAGACCTGGCTTCAGAGACCTGCAACTTCTCTGAATCTGCAACTTTTTCCTAAGTGTAAAAATATCCCGAAACTCACCCGAGCCCCCGGGGCTCCAAACCAAATGTCATACTAACTCAAAAACATCATATGGACCTACTCGTGCGATCACATCATCAAAATAACATGAAAAATCATGAATTAAACCTCAAAACTCAACATTTTCATCAAGAACTCTCAAAGTTCATAACTCTTCAACCGGAAGTTCAACTCACGTCAAATAAACTCTGATTTTCGCCAAATTTCACAGTTATCTTTCAAATACTATAACAAGTTTGTACCGGGCTTCAGAACCAAAATACGGTCCCGATAACAATGGTTCAAACATTAATTCTTTTCTTTATTCCTTAGATAATTCAGTAAAATAATTTCTTTCAAAAATTGATTTCTAAGGCTTGGGACCTCGGAATTCATTTCCGGGCATACGTCCAAGTCTCATATTTTACTATGGATCTCCCGGGATCGTCGGAACACGGATCCGGGTCCGTGTGCTAAGAATGTTGACCAAAGTCAACCATAATCAAAGTTTTAATTCTAAAATTTATATTTCTCATATTTTCACATAGAAGGCTTTCCGAATATAGGTCCGGACCACACACGTAAATCAAGGTGGGGTAAAAAGGGAGATTTTTAGGCCTCGGAATACTGAATTCACTTGCAACACAAGTGATGACCTTTTGGGTCATCACATCTAAAAACATAAATCGAGGTATTTCGATTTAGTTTATGCCGAAACTAGTATAATAATGCATATTAGTTGTCTTGAATGTGTTTCTATGTTGTTTTGTGTTTTGTTTGCGATAAAACTAGTATGTTATTTTTATCTGGATTAATATATTGGTGTTTTAAAAAAATAGTTAAAAATTGAGAAATAATTTTTTTTGTTAATAAAAATGTTCATTAATTTCTTTTACTGTTTTATATGTAATTTCGTGAATGTTATGTTATTAAAATATATTTATTATTTTTATTTAGTTTAGATTATTTATTTGCTTAAAGACCAGTGCCCTTTTAGCGTAGTAAAATATAGAGCCTTTTATCATAGTAAAATATAGAGCCTTTTAGCGTAGTAAAATATAGAGCCTTTTAGCGTAGAATCTCATGTAGAGCCTTTTAGCGTAGAATCTCTGTAGTTTAAGTATCTACTATATTGATAGATCAAACACAAACTCTTTCCAATTACAATTTACAAAACTTAATTATTTAATTTATAAAACAAACACACAGAATTATGAAAAATATTGAAATTGACACAGATAAAAATTCAGGATAGCTTGGTGCTACTGGGCCTCAAATATCGAGCCCGGAATACATAGATATATACGTTGTCCAATTAAAAATTAATTATTTAATTTTCAAAACAAACACACAAAATTCTAAAAATATTGAAATTGACATACATAAGAATTCAGGAAAGTTTGGTGCTACTGGGCCTCAAATATCGAGCTTGGAACTCATAAATATATACGCTGTCCAATAAAAAATTAATTATTTAATTTATAAAACAAACACACAAAATTATAAAAAATATTGAAATTGACACACATAAGAATTTTTAAGCACCATCCTTTTTTTTAAAGAAGGATGGTGCCAAATTTAAATTAAGAAGACCTTTCGAACGTATTATAGATCTTAAAGATCAAATAATTGAATAAAAGGAAATGTGAGCTACTGGAGAATATAAAATAAAACAACTTGCATGGCAAAATGTCAATGCCACATTAGATCATTAACATTCTTGTTCATTGCATTTTATTAGCTGCTGCTGGTGGTTCAGTAATGTTTAGCAAAGTTGACTAGCTTGAACCTAATAATTTAGGCACCATACGTTTTTAAATAAATCAAGATATAAAATTAGCAAACTTGCTGCGCTAATCCTAGAGGTCTTGTTTTCATGAGTTATTTCTTCATTTTGATTTGTTCTATTTGTCCTTTCCTAAAGGATCAGTTGACCAACTAAGCCCATTTCATGCACCTCTACAAATGGAAATGATGTACACCCGGATCGGATTTATAGGGGAGATTATAGGCATGTGAACCTATGGTCTCCGCGAAGTTACATATTTTTTATATATATATTTTAAAATTGGTATACTAACTGTTGGCACTTGATTGGAGATTGAGTTAATTATTTACCAAGAGTAATACGGATCAATTCTCACTTAATGCATATTTTCTTCCTTTCTTTTAGTAGTGCACTCGTGTACCAGAAATTCTAGATCTGCCTATGTGTAGACCATCGCCTTGCCTCGCTTTAGAAGAGTGCTTGGGATCATCCTGATGCCACTTGTATGTAAAAAATACTATAGTACTTAAGAGCCTTGCATAAGTGCCTTAATTTTTGAAAAACAAGGAGAGTTGACCTTAGTATGTATTCCCCGTCTCAAATTATCTGTGTCGTTTCTCTTTTATATGTCTCTTAAGATATAATTTCCATTTATTGAATATTTATTCTATTTGTGTGTTGTCTCCATCTTAAAGAACAATTATTATTTAAGGTAAAATGGAAAAAATATAATTTACTTTCTCTACAACTTTTAAAATGACAAATAATTTGAGATAATTATATTTAGAAATCACGCTCAGAGTAGGTACCTCCTTCGTCTGTGACTATACTTTTCACCTTTTCATACGGTATTGGTGGGAAACATCTTTTCTATATATTCATTTGATGTAATGTAAGATAAACCGCATTCTAACCTCCTCTCTCTAAAAATACAGTAATGGATGTTCCATTCGAAACATTTATTTCCGAATACATGCGGAGCACAGAGGATCCTGACTCCATTGCTATTAAGCTTTCTATCTTTATCTGCTCTTCTGACATTGATCTCCGTGAAAAGTGTGCCGTCTTCCTAAGGAAGTTGCTTACTTCTGATAATGACTTCTTCACTTGGTGGAATCTAAGTGAGTCAACTCAATCCACCATCAAAGCTATTCTCCTTGAGCGTATCTCTATTGAAGAATCTGAATCCATCCTCAAACACCTCGGCGACACTGTTTCAGATCTAGCGGCCTCACTCCTCCCACGTAACAACTGGCCTGAACTATTGCCATTCTTGTACCAATGTCTTGTTTCATCTTCGTACAAGTTAATAGAGTCAGCTTCCTCTATTTTTGAGCAACTAGCTCACGACCTAGGCGATACAGTAGTCCCTTGGGTAAAACATGTGCACTCACGATTACTTAAAACACTAAATGATGATACCCTCGATCTTGATTATAGGATTGCGGGCATGACTGCTGCGATCGCCTTCATTCAATTTCAATGCGTATCAAATTCAAATCAAAAGGAGCGGTTTCAGGAGCTATTGCCAGCTCTACTAAGGAGGTTGACTGATACATTGAGCAACAGTGATGAGGAGGTCGCAGCACACGACGTGCTGATACTTTTCATGGAGTTTGCGAAGAATGAGCCTAGGTTCTTGAGGAGGCAGCTAACGGATGTGGTGTCTACCATGTTCGAGGTAGCAGAGGATGAGAGTTTGAAAGAGGCGACGAGGCACTTGGCAATTGAATTTTTGTTAACTCTGGTTGAGACGAGAAAGAGGGCCCCAGGTATGATGAAGAGGCAGCCCCATTTTATTAGCAGATGTTTTGCATTGTTATTGAAGTTATTACTAGATGTTAAGGATGACCCTGCTTGGCATAGTGTCGAGATCATGAAAGATGATACAGGGGAAACAAGTAACTTCAGTTTTGGTAAAGAGTGTTTAGATCGGTTTTCTCGTGCATTAGGAGGTAAATCTATTGCTCATATTGCCATAGAGCAGCTATGCACTTACTTGGATGCCTCAGAGTGGGAGAAGCGCCATGCAGCTATCTTTGCACTTCATTTCATTGCTAAAGGTTGCTCAAAGGTACAACAATATATGATCTCAGTTGTGTATTGATAATGGCTATGCTTTGATTATAACGGATATTATTTCAACTCGTAGCATATAAGCTGTGGTTTTTGCTGGAAAACTGCTTAACTTTGTAAGATAGTTTGCCCGCGTCCTATTAATTTACCTGAATACTTTACATTATGTTTATCGTTTAAATTTGTCTCTTTGATTTTGTTTTCTCTTAGGCGATTACCTTGGAATCATGGCTTCTTTGCTATTACAGGTGATGATTAAGAATCTGGAGCAAGTGGTTGATATGGTTCTTAATTGTTTCGAAGATCCTCATCCTCGAGTCAGATGGGCTGCTTGTAGGGCAATTTCCTCATTGTTGATTGACTTCCGTCCAGTTACGCAAGATCGATATCATAACCAAATAATCCCTGCATTAACTGCAGCTATGGATGATGTTCATCCACAAGTGCAGGTCTGTCCTATGTCTATGTGTTATGTACAATTTAAGAATGCTGCAAGTTTTCCCAACTGCACCTTTACAAGGGGGTTGCATATACCATACAATTAAAATCTTTAACCTTGCCTAGGTTTAATATGCCTTCAATTTTAAAAGTTTTGTTTTTTGTCCACAGAGAGAATACTTGAGTAGTTTCTTTATCAGGCCATTCATCTTATTGCATTTGCTTGATTTCTTTATGTAAAGTTTTATCTATTGGCTTCAACAATGTGTTTCTGGAAAATTTTATTTTGACATTATTTTGGTTGCAATAAGAGCTCTCTTGCTGACTTTACAAGAACATTGAATGATTGTAATATATGAGATCATAGAGGAAGTAATTTTGAGTGAATGTCAGGGATGAATCTAAAGTTTACCCTTCAAATAAAGTTTGGAAAAAAATCATAAGGTTAAAGATTTGATAGATGCGACGTTACTCCTCCATTGAGTTGCTGATGCCAACTAATTTGGTCTTTTTACTTTCTTTTGGCATTTCTATAGGCATCCTCCACTAGAGCTCTCTGCTTCTTCTGTGTGTTCGGCAAGCCAGAAACTTCGATATCTTACCTAGAAGGAATAGTTAGCAAACTGCTTGTATTTCTACAGGTGCGCAAATATAGAGGCACCAAATTGTAGGTACTTCACTACTGACAAGTGCAAGAGATTAATGATGTCTTTTTCGGCTTTTTGTTGCTTGAAATGCAGAATGACAAACCAATAGTCCAACAACAAGCATTAACTGCATTAGCTAGTGTATCTCGTTCGGTTAAGGTATTAATTGGTGCATTTCTTTTTTACTCAGTTCTATTACTGATGTCATGAATCATGAAGATCAATTTTTATACGTCAACAGGAGCACTTCGGAACCTACTATGACACTGTTATGTCACACTTGAAAACTGTCCTGAGGAACACAGATCTGAAATCTAATCTCATTCTTCGACTCGCAATAGAGTGCATAAGCTCTGTTGCGATGGCTGTTGGCAAAGAGAAATTTAGGGGCGACGAAAAGCAGGTCTTCTACAAATTATGCCCCACTATTGAACACATATATTGATTCCATTGATTGAACACGCATATTTATTCCATTGATTGAACACGTACATTGATTCCATTGATTGAACACGCATATTGATTGAGCATGTATAATGACACCATACTAATGGGATACTGAACACAATCTTTTTTTGGTTCCATCTTGTCTCCGTGTGACCTATAGGTCACAGGTTCAAGGCGTGAAAGTATCCACTAATGCTTACATTAGGGTAGACTGTCTATATTACACTCCTTGGGATGCGGTCCTTCTTTGGAGCCTGCTTGAACGCGGGATGCCTTGTGCACCTGCTGCCCTACTCATGGGATACTGAACACATAATATTGATGCTATTGGTCGGGATTGGTTCGTTCTTATTTTATTTGTTATGCTTTGTCAGATGGCTTTACTGTAGTCAAACCATAGTATATATTACTCTTATTTGAGTAATTACATCTTTCAGCAATTATGTACAACTAAATAGTGTCAGGGATACCTTTTTGCCTCTCCTAGAATATTCTTTTTCTTGTCTGTCTTGGCATGCGCTGGTCATTTCTCAACATAGAGCTTACTTTTTATTTATTGTCTTTCTGTTGTTGTCATTAAAGGTTATGGAAGTGCTTATGTCATTACAAGGATTACAAGCGAAAGGGGACGGTCCTCTTATTATTGGCTTGCTAACAGTATGTGTTAATCACTTTATTTTAATATCAAAGTTTCATTTTGGATTGGCCTCTCTTTATTTTCTTTATGTCATTGCAGGCATATACTGGAATTTGTCATTGCCTTGGACAGGATTTTCTTCCTTATATGAGTGCAGTCATGCCCTTTTTTATTCAATGTGCTCAACTTGAACCTGCTATGACCATCTCTACGCAGTTGGACTATGGAACTAATGAATTAGATGACAATAGGTAAGCTTTTATCATTGAGGTTTGACTTTTTCCAAGTTCATTTAGGTTTCTTTCTTTTGGTTGAGTTTTATAGATGAACTACGTCGTGTATAAACGGGCATCCAAAGGGTCTTATAAAGACCTGGGACTCCGTTCCACCTATTGCTTAAGGTTTTAAGCTGGATGCTCAGAATTCTTTCAAATAATATCAGAGTCGTATTCTCTCAGTCGTGTATCTACATTAGTGATAAACATGACGCTAACCAATAGGTATTGGATTAGCTAACCGGTAGTATACAAGATGGAATCTCTCAGTGTATACTATTTGCATATGATTCTGCATTAACTGATTAAACTAGTATGGATACCGGCCAAAAGCTTGAACTATGGAGTAGCACTGTAGAGAGAAAGGTTTTTAAGATAAGTAATTCATCGTCAAGCATCTACTCACTATGTTCTGCACATGTTGCTTGATAGAATATATGAGTCCACCAAACTATATACAGACCAGGTCCTCTATAGGTTTTCACTGGTAGTGCTAATGAAACAGTAAGTAAATAAAACTAGGGGTTTTTACGTGGAAAAGTCCCTGCTCAAGGGGATAAAAAATCACGACCTACATTGGTAGGATTTCAACTTCACTATGAGCAACTTTAGATTACAACCTATACAATCTAGGAATTAAACTCTTAATCCCCACTAACTTGTAATACACCTATTACAAGCCACTTTGCAATACGTATATTACAAAGACTTCAACTCATGACTAACTCTAGTCACGACACAAACACTGAAGGTTTAAGGTTTACAAGGGATTCCTAATTAAAGCTTCTAGATAAGCAAAGTAGGAATTACAATGAAGGACAATTACAACGTTGCAACTCAACTAAAGACATACAAGATACTTGGTGTAGAAATAGGTCCGTAGTAGTGTTGTACTTTGTTCTTGATGCACTTGAGAATTAAATGCGTGGCGGATGAACGGTTGGAGTGCTTGAATAAATTTTCAAGTGTTCAAGTGATGTTTTATTATAATACACTTGTTAATACAACTTGGATGACATCACTTGAATAATGTAATCACTTGGTTGGTCAAAGGGGAGTGTCTGCAGTACTATACTGCACTGTTTGCGTGTATAGTGCAAACAGTCACTTTCCAGCTGTAAACAGTTGACTTCGTACTGCTGTCAGGGAAACACAAGGGGATCAGGTCCCTGTGTTGATTCTTTATCTCCTGAAGTCATAGCAACTCACATTAGCTTGAGTCCGTTGATTGAGTTATGTACCAAGTGTGTCAGGTCCCTTATTTGGTTCTTTGACAGTAAGTTTGTTAGATCATCAAAATATAAACCTAAGGTACTGTAAACTCATCAATTTCCCCCTTTTTGATGATTACAAACTTAGAAATTGATAGCCCATTTTTAGAGACAAATAAACTAGATGAAGTAACAGGAACTTCACAAGTTCCCCCTGACTTTATACTTCCCCCTTAATCAGACTCATGTTTCAATTATACTTCCCCCTTTTGGCATCATTAAAAATACACAAGCAAGCAATTAGTATAAAGAAGTCTAACCTAGCTAACTTATGCCACATATGTGCACATCACATGATAGAAAAGAGAAGCAGAGAAACATAAGCATTCATAGCAAAAGTGTATTACTCCTGCTGATAACAGTCCAAATCAGCCTTTGCTGTAATTGCTTTCTTGTTAATACACTTGTTAATACAACTTGGATGACATCACTTGAATAATGTAATCACTTGGTTGGTCAAAGGGGAGGGTCTGCAGTACTGTACTGCACTGTTTGCGTGTACAGTGCAGACAGTCACTTTCTAGCTGTAAACAGTTGACTTCGTACTGCTGTCAGGGAAACACAAGGGGATCAGGTCCTTGTGTTGATTCTTTATCTTCTGAAGTCATAGCAACTCACATTAGCTCGAGTCCGTTGATTGAGTTATGTACCAAGTGTGTCAGGTCCCTTATTTGGTTCTTTGACAGTAAGTTTGTTAGATCATCAAAATATAAAGCTAAGGTACTGTAAACTCATCAATATCCCCTTTTTTGATGATGACAAACTTAGAAATTGATAGCCCATTTTCAGAGACAAATAAACAACATGAAGTAACAGGAACTTCACAAGTTCCCCTTAACTTTATGCTTCCCCCTTAATCAGACCCGTGTTTCAATTATACTTCCCCCTTTTGGCATCATTAGAAACACACAAGCAAGCAATTAGCATAAAGAAGTCTAACCTAGCTAACTCATGCCACATATGTGCACACCACATGATAGAAAAGAGAAGCAGAGAAACATAAGCATTCATAGCAAAAGAGGAGAGTTTTCATTATAAAACATAAGCCTTTGCCATTATAGCAAAGGCTGATTTGGACTGTTATCAGCAAGAGTTATACAGGTGAATTCCATCCACAACACAAAAGAAAAACAAAAACAACTACCATAGAGTCATCAACAACAAAAGAGATAAACTACAAACTGGTCACTGAAGGATTAGCCTAGGGGACACTAGGGGAAGAGGGTTTAGAAGTTGTAGCAAGAGTGTTGAGAACGAGATCAATTCGAGCATTGGCCGACATTTCCTCTGCGAGCAGTTTCTCCTTTAGGTTCTCAACATGTTGCCTGAGATCAACATTTTCTTTGGTCAGACGATCAACCTCTGCATTTGACCCTGGTGCCCCTTGAGCTTGTTGATTCTCCAAAATGGCATTCCTTGCCTTCAACTTCCTAATCTCCTCAGTAGCACTATTCTGGGCATTGATAAGCTGTGAGATTGTCGAAGTGCTTCCTACCCCTCCAAAGTAGTTTAAGAGAAGGTCTGCTTCTTGGTCCCCATCTTGGGTTGTCCCAAAGGCACATCAAAGAACTTGAAGATATGCGTGAGAAGTAATCCATAAGGAAGACCATAGTTCCCATCTTTGAAAGCTGCCACCTTTTGCATGTGCTTAATCATTATGGCTGGCAGATTAATATCTAGGAACCCATCAAGTGCTTCCATCAAATACAGATCAAACTTAGAAGTAATGGATCTTCTCTCAACACGGGGGTAGAAAGGCCTTGTTCACCAACTCAAACAGGAGCTGATAAATAGGAAGCATAGCTTTCTTATGCACCTATTCCCCCCGCTGGACTGCGCCCTTCTTTACAATAACATGCCTAAAATTTGAACCACAGACATCCTTGACAGAAGATATATCATCAACAGGGATCTTAAGAATGTCTCCAAGCAGAGCAACATCCAGAACAATATCAACTCCATTGACCAGTGCACAGATTTGGTCAGATTCAACAGCGAAAAGGTCAGCATAAAAACTTTGGACCTCATCTTCATAGACCTTGGGCACATCCACTTTGAACAGATGGCCCCAGTGTTGAAATTTAACCATTTCAATGATTTGTCTCATGCCAGGCATCTCAGAGATTTCTGGATCAAATGTGCGACCCCACAGAACCTTCTGGTACCTCAATCTTTCTTTCCCGAACACACTTTTATGTTTCACTTTCTTCACAAAATTAGGTTCCCTCACATTTTCCAACTTTCTTTTACCAGACTTCACACTCGACTTACCCTTTCTACTTGATTTCACTAGAATGTCCTCATCAAATAATGAACCTCAGCCACTACTTGTTTCAACTTATCACTACTTTTTACTGACTTTGAACTTTACGTTGCAACACCTTCCTCTGAAGCATTTTCAGCGGATCGCTTCTTTTTCTGAGATCTCTTGACTAAGGAACTTGGTTCCTCCGCAGCTTCCTCATCCACTTCCACAACATGGATGTTCTTGTCACACACAACCTCTCCATTTTTCACCAGCCTCTTTTTCTTCTTCTGCTGCTCCTTTTACTTTTCTGCAGGGCAGACTCAAGAGCCTCATTTGCCTGCAACCAACCTAGTAGTAGGTCACTTAGGAGAGGGCTCAGGAGTGGCTACTGGCCTCCTTCTAGCAATGAACGCCTCTAGAGCAACGTTATCCTAATCTTCTTCATCACTAGACCTTATAGCAGGAGTCAAAATTTCCAGAGGCTCAACATCAAAGTGAGGAGAAGGAGCAGGGTCGAAACTGACCTGGGAAGAAGATCTTTGACCTATTTCCTCAGGAGAGGGGTCAGGTCCTTCAAGAAGTGTCCCGGTAGTTTCTTCTGGTGCAGGATTTTCAAAGAGCACCACAGTTCCTTCTCCCACCAGCGATTGAGTCTCTTCCCCCTGAGACTCAGACATAGTAGGGGTGACTCCATACACTATTCCTTCAGCGAATATAGTCAAGATATTTTCTATGGCCTCTTTCTCTAGAGATTCCATGGGTGCAGCAAACTCTGAGACAATACTAACCTCGTAGAACTTTTCTACCTTGGAGTCTCACTCTGTTCTCCATCTTTGTTTTGTGTTGTGAGAATCTCAGGCGACATAGGCAAAAATCTATCGAGTTTGGGGTTTTTTGAGTTCTCAACACTTGGAAGGAGAAAGGAGTCTGAGGGAGTGATGGGAGAAATAGAGGGTGAAGAAGAATCAGGTGTAGGAATATCATCTGCAGTGGTGGTGTAAAAGGGAATGGTGAGAGGTGTGTCACCATAAACGGGATATTCAAGGGTTTTCTCGACTATGGTGGGGATTATTGGTTGATCTTCAACCATAGTGGAGAAGAAGTTTGAACATTTCGGATAGGGGCTGAAGAGAAGGAAAGAGAGAGAGGAGAGAGAGAGAGAGATGATCGTTCAAAGTGATGAGAGGGGTTTAATGGGAGAAGAGACAATTATGAGAGAGAGAGAAACCAGTTCTAAAACGGTGGTAGTTTTGTAGGGAGATGCAATGTTTCAGAGGGAAGTGAAGGGATTTGAATGAAAAGAAATGACATACAGGGTCTGAAAAGGTTGATGACATGACACTCAATTTTTGTTTCCTTTTAAGATATGTATTAAAAAGCATAAGACTACTAACATGTGATACAAGAACCAGGTTCTTGACCTGTATTTCAAAAATTGCCAGTCCTCTTTCACCTCT